TGGACAATTGACAAACCCGGGAACAGATAAGACACAAAAGGAGAAACAAAAACATTCAACATTGAAAACTAAATACAGATAAAAAAAACACGGACCCAAAACAACAATGTGGCGACCTCCGGTGCTCCGGAAGGGCAAGCAGTTACTGCTTCTTGCAAGGCACCCGTAGTGTTTCTCACGAAAGTCATTCTCAAATCAAAGGAGAGGTTTCTACGACAACGGTAGAAGGTCATTTGGGACACAGATACCCCAGGTGAATTAATAGTCTTTTGGACGAACGGACAATAGGAATACGAAATCTAACGGCCACCTTCAAGTCTTGACTTATAAGTAAGGGAAATAAATCTGAGATGTTTTCAAGGTGATTGTATTGAGCCTGTATTATTAAATGTTAATACTGCATGTAAGACTTAAAGTATATTAATATCGAAAGTCAATATATCTATTTTTTGCCAAGGCAAATGATCGCAGAACTCTCTCGGTGTTGATATCCATTTCTTTGTGAACATGTATGAGCGCCAACGAAGATAGTCTGTCCTGTACCATGGTTGAACGGAGAAGTTTTCGGTCGCCGTAATGCACTAAATGACCGTTCAGTAGTTGATGTAGTTACTGGCATTGTAACTAGAATTGAGAAGGTTGCGAATATTGAAGGATATATAGTTCCTTATTAGTCACTGCTAGAGACGACATCAGAGATTTGGGCTTTAAACAAAAAAAATGTGCAAGCAAATGATTTTTTGCGTAAAGGCAGCTACGCGCCTGTCTGCTGAAATTGTTTACAGTTTGATTCCATAAAAGTATTGTAGTATTATATAAAATTGCAAACTGTTTTTTAATCTATTTCTTGCCGGTTAAAAAGCTGTCATTTTAGAGTTTGTGATATAATATAAGTTCTTCATGTTTTAAATGGTTGCATTTAATCGAGTTTTAATTTCAAAAAACTACTTTTGCCACATAGGCTCAGAAGGAGTGAGCGATAATATATTAGAGTTTCTGTTTGAAGAAAGATAACTCTAAATAAAATTATCCGGTCAATGCTCTCTAAATTCAGAATAAGTAATCTTTGTCTAAGGTTAGACACTTGAAGACGTGAGAGAAAATAAAATTTTCTTAGAATCAGAATCAGAACCATTTCCCAGATGTAAAAGGCTATGTCATTTCTGTGATTTAAACCAAGCAGAGGACGAGTACACTTTTTACTTCAATGTCCCAAATTTAACCAAGGATTTGCACTACACAAATCCTGTGTAAATATCTAAGTACAAAAACTTGTTTATATGGATAATTCTAAATGAAGACAACACATTTTTATGTTTATTGTGTGAATTTTTAAAGATAAATTATTTAAGAAAACAGCATACTGAATTATAATGATTATCTACTTGGTAAAAAAATAAAAAGTTAATTATAACAATCAGAGTTATCTCTCTTTGTTACGAATTGGACGTATATGATCATGTTCTACTGTACTGTATCTGATTAACATAATCAGAGTGAGCGGAGTGAAAAGGTTAGTATGAAGGTTAGTATGAAGGGCCCCGTGAATAGGAACAAAAAGAGTTTGAATTTGAATTTGACTTTGGTTGTTCCTGTGGTCCGGAGGTCATCCTTCGATTTAACTTGTTTTGTTTTAAATTCTCACTTGAAAATCTCCATAAGTGCCATGAACTCCCCTTTTCAAATATATAACTCAACGCATTTTCAGATCTTGTCCAGGCACGGATTTTGAGTCATTGAGCATTTAGTTACTTTGAGTCGGACGACTATTAGTAAATATACAGTGTTGAAAATATCAAATGGCAATGTTTGTTGTCAGTTTTTAAAAGACACCAGCAATTAATGCTGCCTGAAGTTTGCTGATATACGTTTTCTTATTAAATATTGATAATGTGTTTTATTGTCATTCGTGGTGTGTAGTGTTGTCTGCTTGGTCCTTTTGGTTTTAAAACTGATTGAAATTCAAGTTCAAATAGTTTATTGGTGAATTACCACGATACGTTGGTGAGCATCAAAACAGCACAGAACAATAGCATTACACACTCTCATAATAACCAATAATCATATAATCAAATATATATATGTCATAGGCATTTTCTAAATTTAGGCATTTGTAAAATTACTGAATTTTCAGGCATTTTATAAAATGCCTAATATTGATAGGCATTATATGAAATGACTAAAAATACCTAGTCATTTTCTAAAATGACTGAAATTTTAGAAACAAAATTCAACAAATTGCCTGTTCAGTTTAAGGAAATTTGCTTTAAAAGAAGAATAATTAGAATCAAGATGTATATGACAAAAAACACGATATCTTGCAAAGAAAATAACTAATGGTTCTGTAAAATTAAATAATTCTTCAAAAACCAAATGGGAAGTTTGAATTCTTTGTTTAGTGAAATTACGTTAAATGTTCTTACCCTGTATTTCAGATGGTAATTTTATAATCTTGTAGTCATAATGGCAGAAGGACAAATTCTTCTTACAATAGAACAAATTTTACAAACGATTTTGTTTTTTGAAATATAGATTCTATATATCTTTATTCTCGTAATCCAAAGAACAATGGTATAGAGACAAATACAAATAAATTCACATACATATTATAAACTTAAGTACAAATGTAAAGTAGAGACATAAAGTGGTTACCCAGGAGGATCTAGGCATTCATTGATTATTCGTATAAATTTGCACAACTTGTTTAGTTCAGACGGGTTGTTGCTATAAGATCTTGAAATTTTAAAATATTGGGTCTGTTTGCAAAATGATGCTTTAAAAGCGTTTGTCTACTTTCGTTTCAAAACATAAGTGTGTAATGTGAAGCGAAGAAAAAGAAGCATGTTTTTATTTACTGATTGTTGTTTGTTTGCATTCAGTATATAAATAACACATAGCTGAGAGGGTGATAGAGCAGATTGTTACCCCGAGAAACCATGGTCAACTGAGGCGAAGGATAGAGTAAATTGTCTCCCTCGTATTAACCAATCAAAATCTGGCATTTTGACACGAAGTATAATAATAGCAAATATGTCATGCATATTTAAGGAATTTTGACTGCCACATGAAATGGAGGTATGTTGGATAGGGACAGATAAGTTGCCTCGAATTTATACATCCTGCACAACCAAACGGATTCCCCTCTATATATAGCAAGGGTTTCGCCATACATTGCCGTGTTTGGTTGTGATGCAAAGATATGAGTATCTTCATCTTCACTGCCCCAAGGGAATTCAATTATTGGGTCTTTACAATCGGATGCATTAATGGGACAATATAGTTAACCGTTGTTAAAATCTCGAAAATCGATTCAGAAGAGACAAATAAAGATGCATCGTCTCCTGCTATGGATGCATCACCCGACTGGCGTATGTCTGCTTAAGCCCGTTAAACTTGCTCTGATAAGCAAACAGATGTCAGACAACCTAATCATGCTAATGTGACTTTGACTTTGCCGAATCTGTTGGAAAGATATTTATGTGTGGGCCCCCCCCCCCCCCCCCCCAAAAAAAAACAGGACAAATGTGTTACTTATCCTGCCATCTAAACATTATATGAAGTAACAAATAATTGTCGAGTTCGGTGATTGTAGGAATTTTGAATAATTCAGTAGAATTTAATTTTTATTATTAAAACACTTAAGATGCAAGCTTTCAAATTCAGCAAGTATCACTGATAGATAAAGCTGCTCTGTTGTTCGACACTTTCAATCTTTCAATTGCTAGTCGGTTTGTGTGAATATTTCAATCTATAAAATAACTTCAGGCATTTTACAAAATGCCTTTCAAAATTTCCAGGCATTTTGTAAAATGCCTGAAAAAATTAGTCAATATATCTTACAGGCATTTTAGAAATTGCCTAAAGTTTTCGGGCATTTTACAAAATACCCAGACTGTTTATAATCAGATGCAAGATATATCTCATTGCGCATGTCATTTGCCTCCTTTAAAAAACATGTTATGTTTATAAAAGCCGTCCTTTTGATAAAAAATATCTCCGATAATCCAGTTTAGCAACCAACCGAATTTCCCTTTTTACTACTTAACTCGGCTTGATTTGATGGTTTAGGCAAGGGGATACTCATATTTGTATGACGTTTAAGCACCCCTGGTGTCTCCTTATTCAATCAAGTTTTTTTTTCATTTCCAGTCGTAACTGTACCGAACATTGTAGTCTACTTTTTGAATAGGCTAGGGCAAAATTAAGGCAACAATCATTCATGAATTCACCACTAATATAAGGCTAGGGCAAAATTAAGGCAACAATCGTTCATGAATTCAGAGGCGGATTTAGGGGGACCAAGGTGCCCCCCCCCCCCCCTTTGTGGGAAAAATTTGGTTGATTATTTTGGGACCACTGAAGCATAACTGGAACGGCCCCCTCTTATGGCAGTCAGTGTCCTACATATATACCACAAGCTTTTGCCTTTCCAGGGGCGTTTCTGCAACATGTTAACAACCCACCTGCAGAGAACAGTGTATTTTATCATTATATTACTGGCATTTCACGGTATTGTATTGCAGGCGAGGGTATTGCAACAGATAGGTTGGAGTAAATATGACATAGGTTAAGATAACTATAAATTTTTATGATTTAAAAAGCCATTAAAATATCAAGCTGGTTAATTATTGAAAATGAAATCAAACTTGTGTCACCAATTATTATAACTAAACTGGCTTATACCAGAGACATTGTATTATATGTCTCTGCTTATACGAAAGTCTCAGAATACAAAACATGTTTTATACAAATTACAGCTGGTACACACCATATATATATTTATAACTTCTATTCATCTTATCTTCCTTCCATCTTAAGAGGATTATAAGTTAACCGCAGTGCACATGCAATGGTTTCTTATTGGGTTCCTATCTTAATTATCCGGAGACAGTGCTAGTAATTCCCGACATCTATGAAAGTATTATAATTCAATTTACAAATAAAGATCTTTTAAACGTTTTATATCATTGAAATTTACATTATTTTAGGTATAAGCAAAATTACACTGAACCACATGTTACAAAGAAAAAAAATACATTCAGAACAACAATTTGAATGGCCATGAGTTAATATTTGGCTACATTATATGGTGAGAAAACCAAATATCTGAATAGCTTATAGAGATAACTTACTGTGTTGCCCAACACTGAATTTTTTTTCACTTTGGAATCCTAAAAAAAAAAGGCTGAATACCGAGACTGATTTTGTCATTATGTAAGAGATAAATTTGTCCTGGTAAAATATGTCCGGGCGGACACATATTACTAGTATAAAAAGTCCATGGTTACAGAATTTACTAGTATTTTTAGTCCGATGTTAGTAATTTATGTCCCCAGACTAATTTTCCTAGGAATTCAAGTCCATGTCATTAATATTCCTAGGTAAAAACGTCCATGTCCTTTTTTTATAGTAAAAATATTAATGAAACAAATCAATTACATTTAAACAATATTGGAAATTTAAATGTTAAGTTTTAATATTGTTTAAGAGTTGTGTATTTATATTTTTAATACAATTCATGTCCCCAGACTAATTTTCCTAGGAAATCATATCCATGTCATTAATATTCCTAGGTAAAAGCGTCCATGCCCTTTATTTTAAAAGAAAAATTTTAATGAAACAACTTATTTACATGTAAACAATGGAAATTCAATTTATATGTTTTAATATTGTTAAAGAGTTGTGCATTAATATTTTAATAAAATCCATGTCCCCAGACTAATTTTCCTAGGAAATCATGTCCATGCTATTAATATTCCTAGGTAAAAATGTCCATTCCCTTTATTTTGAAAGTTAAATTTAAATGTTATGTTTTAATATTGTTTTAGAGCTGTGTATTAATATTTTAATAAAATTTATGTCCCCAGACTAATTTTCCTAGGACATCATGTCCATGTCATTAACATGCCTAGGTTATAACAGAGACATCTGGTTATAACATCCGACCATGTCCTTTATTTTAAATAGGAAAAAATTAATGAAACTTTCCAATCTTAACTAAAAAAATATGTTTTTTTTTTTTATTTTCAATAATTTTTATAATATAATAAAAATTACTAGAAAAACAAGTCTTAGGACAATTTTTCCTAGGAAAATAAGTACCAGACATATTTTACTAGCTATGGACTTATTTACCTAGGAAAATTTGTCCTGGGACTTAAATTCCTAGTAAAATAATGGTCATGGACTTGATTAACTAGGAAAAAAAGTCTGGCGGACAAATTTTACTACCGGACCAAATTTACTGTTACAATTACACTGTCATTGTTAAGGTTCATGTGAATCCTTTGGCTAAATTGGCTGTGTTTTCACCTCAAAATTTACTCTGAGTACAAAAAAACCTGTGTATCTGGAAAAGTTTTAAGACATAGCATGCCATAGATATATAAAGTTCAAACCTGGGAACAGTATATGTCAATAATGACAATATATATGTTCCTGTTCAAACTAAACTGGAATTTGCAGTGCACTTTTTTTCGTTCATACAGAAGATGCCAAAATCAACAAAGTTGGAAAAGAGGTTTAAGAACTTCCCCATAGGTGTTAATTGAAGTGAACTGTATTGATTGACATTGACAATAGAGGGACAATAGATATATCTGACATTTCTGATTGGTGATTTAAACTGTATCACTGAGTGGACAATATCAAGTGGAAGAAGGAGAAGTAGAAGTGATAATTATAAGGACATTTAAAAAACTGAAGTGAAGTAGTAATATGAGGCAGGTGTTACCTGTGAAAGAAGACGAAAGCTGTATTACGAATTTTAATTCATTTTATTTTGTCATTATCCTTTTTGGTAATCTGATTTACAAATTTGCATGGGAAATTGTATAACCTACAACATGGCAGCACCTGTCAACAAAACAGGAACAGGGTAATGCTCAAGCACAACTGTTAAACGAAAAAAATTAACAATTTTGTGTTTATTAGTATATTGATTTTTCATTTTATTTATTTTTTTTACTGTTATTGGTGACTACGTCCACATAAACATGATAAATGCATTGTAGTTCCAAAATATTCCAATGTGTAAATTTTTATTTGCCTTTGCTCAAGCTGGACACAGAATTTTTTTTACCTGTAATACGGAATCAATAAAAACTGTTTTTCACTCTTAGATTACTTTTTATACTGTTAAGTTTATTTGTAGATTCTCATGTCGTGTACTGCAGTATCCACTATAGACTACTAGTAAAAATTCTTTCATTGTGTAGTTGTTTGTCATACACGTATACATGAATATAGTTTCAGTTAATCATCCAAAATTTATTACATTGTCAGATACAAACATGATATCTGGTATAATTTCAGAAAGGAAGATGTACACGTATACATGAATATAGTTTCAGTTAATCATCCAAAATTTATTACATTGTCAGATACAAACATGATATCTGGTATAATTTCAGAAAGGAAGATGACTGCTAACTTCAGTTCTCCTGATGAAGATGTAATTAGCAGAAAACTTGATGTTTATTCTGGTGGAAATGTGTCTAAAGATTTACTAGAGAAATTTTACGAAATTCAAGATTGCATTAAATGGATACAAAAAAATGATTTTAAAAAGGTATGGTTTATATGAACATGTGAGTATTATAAAATATCTGTCATTTGATGTAATGTATGTATAAATTCTCCATGTTTTCTCTCAGGATTTGGTGTACCTTGTGGCATTGTGACATCTCTTACCTTATTATTAATGATGAATAACAGTAATTTAGAAAGGTGGCTCAAAGAGGCAGGTGAGCCTAATTTTTTGTTGTGAATTTTGATATGAGTCATATTATACCCCAAAAAGAAATCTTTACTTTCCAAATAAACAAGTTTATAAAAAAGTCAATTTTTCTAATTATAGTTTGCTTCAGAACATCTTTGATATTTTAGTCTTAAGATACATGATTTTTTTATTAGTTGTTATTGGCTTTGAACTAGCTGTCAGTAACTGTGAGTACTCTCAGATCTGTACTTAGTGTCCTTTTTGTTGTTAGGGATGAGTGATGGATAAATACCCTGCCATGTCAGTCTGTGTTTATGTTTGATGTTTTTCTGCTTTGTATCGATCTGATGAGTTAAGACTTTTTGAACTGATTTTTAGCTCACCTGGCCCAAAGGGCCAAGTGAGCTTTTCTCATCACTTGGCGTCCGTCATCCGTCGTCGTTAACTTTTACAAAAATCTTCTCCTCTGAAACTACTGGGCCAAATTTGACCAAACTTGGCCATAATCATCATTGGGGTATGTTTCCTGTGACACGGCCAACCAACCAAGATGGCCGCCATGGCTAAAAATAGAACATAGGGGTAAAATGTAGATTTTGGCTTATATCTCTGAAACCAAAGCATTTAGAGCACATCTGACATTGGGTAAAATTGTTTATCAGGTCAAGATCTATCTGCCCTGAAATTTTCAGATGAATCTGACAACCCGTTGTTGGGTTGCTGCCCCTGAATTGGTTATTTTAAGGAAATTTTGCCGTTTTTGGTTATTATCTTGAGTATTATTATAGATAGAGATAAACTGTAAACAGCAATAATGTTCAGCAAATTAAGATCTACAAATAAGTCGAATTGACCAAAATGGTTAGTTGACCCCTTAAGGAGTTATTGCCCTTTATAGTCAATTTTTAACCATTTTTCGTAAATTTTTGTAATCTTTTACAAAAATCTTCTCCTCTGATACTACTAAGACAAATTTAACCAAACTTGTCCACAATCATCATTAGGGTATCTAGTTTAAAAAATGTGTCCGATGACCCCGCCCGCGAACCAAGATGGCCGACATGGCTAAAAAATAGTACATAGCGTAAAATGCAGATTTTGGCTCATATCTCTGAAACCAAAGCATTTAGAGCAAATCTGAAAAGGACATAATTGTTCATTAGGTCAAGATCTATCTGCCCTGAAATTTTCAGACCAATCAGGCAACACGTTGTTGGGTTGCTGCCCCTGAATTGGTAATTTTAAGAAAATTTTGCAGCTTTTGGTTATTATCTTGAATATTATTATAGATAGAGATAAACTGTAAACAGCAATAATGTACAGCAAAGTAAGATCTACAAATAAGTCAACATGACCAAAATTTTCAATTGACCCCTTAAGGAGTTATTGCCCTTTATAGTCAATTTTTGTAAATTTTTACAAAATATTTTCCACTGTAACAACTGGGCCAAGTTCATTATAGATAGAGATAATTGTAAGCAGCAAGAATGTTCAGTAAAGTAAGATCTACAAACACATCACCATCACCAAAACACAATTTTGTCATGAATCCATCTGTGTCCTTTGTTTAATATGCACATAGACCAAGGTGAGGGACACAGGCTCTTTGGAGCCTCTAGTTATAGTTTGTTCTTATGTTGTGCTGTAACACTACTGTCCCAGGTTAGGGGAGAGTTGAGTGCTCGCAAACATGTTTAACCCTGCCACATTCTTTATGTGCCTGTCCCAAGTCAGGAGCCTGTAGTTCAGTGGTTGTCGTTAGTTCATGTCTGTCATATTTACTTTACGTAAATTGTTTTGTTATAAATTAGGCCGTTAGTTTTCTCAATTGAATTGAATTGATTCATATTTTTCATGTCAGAGCCTTTTATGGCCGACTATACAGTTGCCTATAATTGCTTACATCCACTTTATTTGAACTTTAGTGGATAATTGTCTCATTAGCAATCATACCTCATCTCCTTATTTTTATATTGAAGATTTCCGTGCATGTTTGACTCCAATTTAATTGACACCAACAGTCAATCAATCAATCTTTGAAGATTTAAAATGTTATTTCAGTTTTAGTAAAGTATCCTGTTATAATACAATTTAAGATGTCTTTCCTTCCGGAAAAATAAACCGCAATCTTGGAAAACAAATTGTTATGGAAATGTTCCTGTGTCTGTTACACATCATAAAAAATACTATGTTTGTCCATACATATGAAGAGCATTATCTATAAATATTTTTTATTTACCTCATTCAGTTAAAATTAAGATTGTAAATATTTCCAGCTGACCAATTATGACATCATATGTAAATCTTTCCTGATTGCAGATGTATTTTTATTATTGTGACAAAAACTTAACAGTTTTGATTTTTCTTGTCAAATTTTTTCAATTATATATAATTATAATAAATCAAATATTTAATCAATTATTTTTTTAACAAAGTTCTCAAGTTTTATTGGAAAGGACATAATTACTTAAATTTTGTCAACATTTTTTTTTGCTTATTTGTGTTATATCATCATAGATAGCATTGCAAATGCCTGATGAATTGATGAAAGACTCTGTACCCATAGCTGACAAAATTCAAAGTCAAATAGAGGGCAAAGTGTTTATACTTGGAGACACATCATATGGCAGGTAATGTTACACTTATCATATATTTACTGAAGGACCAAAGTCATTTCATGAAGTTATGATAAGAATTCTTTTATCTGTTGTCCTATCAATTTAGCTGCTCAAAATTATTGGTGAAAGACAGTAGCAGGGTGCAACATTTGCACATAAAGACTGCAGAAATGTCTTTTCCATTCAAGTTATCTCCCCTTGGGAAAAAAAAGAACTCAACCAATTATCCAAACTTAAGTAACTTACTGGAATTGAAGTAATGAATTGTGGATGTACATGTATTACTCATATCAGTGTAATATAAAATTTTGTAGATTTTACTATGAACAATTTTAATACCCATTGAAAGATATATTTTCCCTTGATTGTCATGTACTAAAACTGAAACCATGATTTCAAAAACTAGCAAAAAACAATTTTTTCCACAGACAATAGAAGTTAGATTCCAGTAATGACAGTTATCTTACAGCAAAAAAAAAAGATTGATATCAATTTCCTCGATGCAGAACAGGTGTATCTGGGATATCCTTCATCCTGTTCGCTTGAGACAAAAAATTTGATGAAACAAAAGTACAAAACACTCAAGAAAATTATAAAAAAAACTGCTTGGCACCAATTTACATGTGCACAACAGATGTATTTAATGTGACCTTCATGGAAAGACCATTTCCTCTGAGGATAAAAGGGAGAAAATTAAGATTGTCTCCCCTAGATAATTTGATAAATGAGATAACTGACTAAGTACCCATGGAGAATATCATGGTCCACATGTACAACATCTTATTATACACACTTTAAAACATACATATTAGAAAAATCAGGGTCCCAATTTGATTTGTTTATAAAAATAAAATTTTGATTATGAATAATTGTCAAGTCTTATGTTTGTAGACTAATGATAAAAACCCACTTATTCTCCTCTGCTAGCCCACTGACCCTATAAGCCCAGTCTGTGTTGTTGCTGTTATAACACCTTTGTTTTTTCTCTTAAACTTTTGGACCAGTTCTAACTGTACATAGGAATAATTTTTGGGTGGCTGATAAAGCAATACTAGATTTGATTTTGAATATTTGTAGGAATATATGGGTGTATATGTGAGTGAATGAGCAACCCAACAACAAATTTAACACAAGTATTGATACTTATTTTCTAGGTCTGTTTGATATCATGTTATAGATGTAAAATATATGTAAATTATCGTCTTACCTGTATATGAATAATTCTTGTGATCTGAATGTGTCAACATAATGGTTTTTCTCGGTGGCTCCCTTGTTTCACTTTTCAATGTTAATATTCTTTTCTTTTTTGATAACAGAACATGCTTAGCACATGCGTAACTGATCTTCAGGTAAGGACCATATTAAAGGTTCCATGAATACAGATCTAAATGAGGTTGAATTATTGACATGCAAGCCAAAAATGCATAAGCCATGTTTTTGAGCTTATTTTGTCAAAATTGAACCTAAATGGCTGCTAGTAGCAAAATAGTATTTTAATATTCTGCTTTTATAAATGTTTGAAACAAAAACAAAAAATCTTATTTAATTTTTTTGTCTAAAACCTTGAAGATAAATTTGAACAAAAAAAGTTTCATATGATCTTTTTGTCAATTTCATCTTTTTTTAAAGTTACAAATTAGGAAGATTCATACACTTATGAACTGTTTTGAACCTCTTGAACTCAAGAATAGTTTAATTTAACTTTAATTTTTGCTGTTTGTTTATATTTTAGTTGTTGTGTAGACGAAATAACTGCTGAACATTACAATGCAGACTGTATTATTCACTATGGCCATAGTTGTATGAGCCCTACTCGTAGAATCCCTGTAAAGTTTGTTTTTGGTCAATCACCAGTAGATGTTCCTGATCTTGTGTCAAAGGTCAAGGACATATTTACAGACAAAGATAAACTTATTGTTTTGTTGTATGATACCTGCTATCATCATGTTGTAGGTATGTTGATTATAAACAGAAAAAGTTTTAAAGAAAACATTTAAACACAAGGAGGATAATATTTAAAAATATAAACAAACTTGTTTATTTTTTGCAAGTCATTTAATATATTAAGATATCCTTATAAGTTAAAAACAGCTTTAGCCAATTTTTTTGTATAATAAAACTAGAAAACTTTAAGTAGAAAAGACTAGATTGTAACAGGAATTAATAATTTCCATAAATTCTATAATTCAGTGGGGAACTCTGAACACTCTGTGCGGTGACCTATAGTTGCTAACATCTAAGTCATTTGGTCTCTGGTGAGAGTTGTCTCATTGGCAATCATACCACATCTTCTTATTTTTACTGTATATTCAGTGATAACTCAAGTTAGATAATAGTCTAAATGTTGATCTACTTCTATTCTATGCATTTTAAATACTTTTAATTTGGTTATCTTAGATGACAAAAGTTAAATGAAAAATGATTATGAGGATGAACAGCAACATTATGTCATAATGTTAGGAAAAACCGTATCATGATCAATAGACTAAGATAAAGGAAAGGAAACTAACTTCAAGATAGTATCAAAAAGTCAAAGTTGAAAAAAAAGAACTGAGGAAATCACCTTACATAACAACTGATAAGACAAATAGAAATGACCATCATACACATAATACTTCACAATATATAAGGATAAATATGAAGTGGTAAACATGTAAGTGTTTCAGCTCAACTTGTCTTTGTTTGGTTGAAATTGTTTTACATGTGGTTGAGGCAGCCACAAGATGGTTTTGAGATTTTTATGTTTTCTAATTTTTTCATCATGTTCATAACTTCATACAAGCTGCAAATTATGTACTTAAATATATCAGAATCATATTGCTTTTACAAGGAGTTTCTAACTGCATGTCCTAAATCATATTAAACTCTGTGAAAAATTATATGTTTTAGTTAGATACATTGTATGTTTTGTGTAGTTAGAGTTATCTCCCATTCAATGATTTCTAATCATGGTTTAACCAGGTATCAGTCTATAGTTTAAGGTGGCACGGTAGTATTTCCTGGCCCATAAGGGATAATGATAGCCTTTTTAGAATTTTCACCACTTTCTAACACTGCTAAAAATTCTACATTCACAGTTTACTGAAGTACTTTCATTTTACTATTCAGAAATGAATTTGAATATGTATCATGACCGTTTACTTTTTTTGCTATCTTTAAGAACCTAAGGCCACTAGTGCTTTTAGGTCTTTTATCGTGCAGTGAATACAAAATTTAAAAAAATTCTCAAAAAATCATTTTCATCTGTATGTAAAATTATTTCATATTTTTCTACACCTGATTCATCCCTCAGTTTGGGAAAGTATGTTCAGTTGATACTGTATTTTTTGTCCAATCATAATGTTCAGATACATTGACTTAAGTAGGGTACACAAAAGAGCAACCTAAATTCTGGAATGCAAATACTACCGTGCTACCTTAACCAAGACATTTCAAACTTGAAATCAGTCATGACACCTATGATGCATAGCCTTCTTACTATGTAACATATTACAATAAAGAATACTAGTCTGCACTTATTTCTTACCAAAAAAAAATGAAAGATTACACCCCTACCCCAGCTGGCAGATTTTCATTTTTTTATCATCTTACCATTTTTACTTAAGGAGTGAACAAAATCCAAATATATGATGTTTCAAATCAACACAGAAGTCAAACATGGTGATTCAGGAGGAATTATTGGATTGCCAACTCTATTTATAGTTAATCTGACTGAAAGAAACAGTTTAAGCACCAAATCATGAAAAATGATATTAAAGTCCATTCCACATTTTACAGCATGCCTTACATTACTTTAAGCATTTCCAGATTATGAAGGCAACATAACAAGATTCTTTAGATGGCAGTTAACTATCATTCTAAAATCTTTTTGACAATATATGTACTAGAATATATCTCTAAGTTGACTGTTTGTCTATTTCTCATGTATGCATTAAGTTAAATTATGTCCCCTTACATAATCATTTTACCTTTATTTTGCTTTTCATTGTCAGAAAATCAAAACAATTAATGACATTTGCATGGAAAATGAATAAACTATTTAATCTTGCTGATAAACAGTCATAATTACATTCTTTGTCAAAAAAAATGTCTTGTCAGTGTAAAGAAACCCCTATTGCTATCTCTATTTCAGTCAAATATGAGGGCTAAATGAATAAGTAAGGACCCCTTCACCACTTGCTGGTTGCAAAAAAGCTCATACTGGTGTCATGTTACCACAGAACTACAAATTAAACCTAAAGAAAACTAGTAAAGCTGTACTTGTATGGAAAAAAATAAGAAATTATGCAATTTATTTATTTCGGTGAAAATAATAGGATGTACAGGCAAATAAAATATGTCGCGTCTCAAATTCCAGTGGTTGCACATGTGTCAGACACTGCGAAAAGTTAAAGCGAGCATTTATAGTTAAAAATGTATTGCAAGTTACATAAAAATAATGAAGTTCTACTTTCTAGGTAAATTTTTACTTTATTACCCACAGATCAGCCAACATTTGCTGAATCAGCAATTTTCACTCCCAGGGGTGGAATTTAAGGGATGTTTTTATCATAGTTGCCCTTAATCAACTTTTTATTGATAAACTTACAAATTGCATAGGTAAAAAAAAATCCTTCATTGATTTAGTGTAAACATGTATATCCCCCTTAAGGTGGCACGGTAGTATTTCCTGGCCCATAAGGGATAATGATAGCCTTTTTAGAATTTTCACCACTTTCTAACACTGCTAAAAATTCTACATTCACAGTTTACTGAAGTACTTTCATTTTACTATTCAGAAATGAATTTGAATATGTATCATGACCGTTTACTTTTTTTGCTATCTTTAAGAACCTAAGGCCACTAGTGCTTTTAGGTCTTTTATCGTGCAGTGAATACAAAATTTAAAAAAATTCTCAAAAAATCATTTTCATCTGTATGTAAAATTATTTCATATTTTTCTACACCTGATTCATCCCTCAGTTTGGGAAAGTATGTTCAGTTGATACTGTATTTTTTGTCCAATCATAATGTTCAGATACATTGACTTAAGTAGGGTACACAAAAGAGCAACCTAAATTCTGGAATGCAAATACTACCGTGCTACCTTTAACTGGTTTCTGACTACTTCAGCTATGTAAAATAGGTCTATATAATACCTGATATTGATATAGCTTATACATGTATATTTAAAATTTCTTAACATATTTCCTATAATAGTAAAATCTGTTTCAACGGAACACAGGATAAACCAAAGTGCCAGAGTGAGTTATTGCTATCATTTTACATCTTCTGTCCTTTGTCGCTTTGGTCTGTCTGTAAAGTTTTACAAATCTTCTCCTCTGAACTCACTGGGCTATGAATCCATACTTTATCATAATCAAAATTCCTTGTTCACCAGTGCAACAACCTATCTATTGCAACCATTTTTTAAATTAAAACATTTGGTAGGGGAGGTTTATTACAGGAATAATGCTAGTTTTTATGGCTTTTTCTTGTAACTGTTTATCTAGTGTTTTTTATTCAAAGTTGTGTAATACATAGTTACAGGGAAGATATCGATACAGATATTGGTCTATCTGGCTTATATTTAAAATTTTAAATAAGGTCTTTTTACTTAGACAATTTTATTAAAATATTAGTTTTCTTTTCCTTTTTACAGAATTATAAGTTACAGGTCATATTTGAGTTTTACTTGTTTTCTTTCTGTAACATTTAAAATTTTCCTTGTTCAGTATACATTTGTTGGTTTCTTGTAGCAAATGTAATTTTAGTAAAATATTAGTTTTCTATTCCTTTTTACAGAATTATAAGTTACAGGTCACATTTGAGTTTTACTTGTTTACTTTCTGTAACATTTAAAATTTTCCTTGTTCAGTATACATTTGTTGGTTTCTTGTAGCAAATGTCAATTTTCCTCACAAAATTTCTCAGGTTTCTCTGTGTATTCTTTATGTGTCATGTATTGGTTAATGTAGTGAGAATGATTTTCTCCAGGTAAATACCATAGATTTCAGGCATACAATGGTATATATACATTAGATATTCTCTTTCAGATGCTATTGCTACAGAATTGAAACATCATTTTCATAACTTTGTTGTGTCAGGACTAAATTTTCCATCAGGAAATGGTGATTCAAATAATAGTTGCCATGACAGTTTGTCAAATGACCTTTCTCAAGAGAAATCTATATGTAAATGCAACCGATCATTTAAAATTCCTCTAAACCAGTCATTAGATAGTGCAATGATGCTTTATATAGGACAAGAAAATTTAACCTTGACGAATTTAATAATGACCTTGAATAAGTGCTGTTTTTATACCTATAATCCATTGAACTTTGAACTAAGGAAAGAAAGTTCTAATGTAAACAGAATGTTAATGAAAAGATTTTACATGGTGGAGAAGGCAAAAGATGCAAACATTGTTGGTATCGTAGTGGGAACTTTAGGTGTGGCTGATTATCTTAAAGTTATAGAACGACTCAAAAGCTTAATCAAACAAGCTGGAAAGAAAAGTTATACATTTGTTGTTGGAAAGTTAAATGTTCCTAAACTTGCAAATTTCTTGGAAGTGGATGTATATGTGCTAGTTGCATGTCCAGAAAATACATTATTGGACTCGTCAGAGTTTTATAAGCCTGTTGTATCAGTGTATGAAATGGAGATGGCATGTAACAGAAGTCGAGAATGGACTGGAGATTATCACACAGATTTCAGGGATATATTACCAGGTAATAATACATAAAGTCAGAATACAGAATAAATGCTCATTCTCAATATTTATCAATGGAATCAGTAAAACTCCAAATCAAATTTGCAAAAAATCTACTTAACGTAAATTCAAAGGCAGTAAATACAGCTTTATAAGCTGAACTGGGAATGTACCCTATTGGTATATAGGCCCTAAAGTCTTTTGTAGGATTTTGGTTACAGATTTTAAACTCAAATGAAAAAGAGTCTTTTATTTAAGAATTGAATGCTTTTTGTAAATTTATTGGGGTGTAAAAGCGTTGACCGAAGTACATTTTGTATGAAGTGCGGAAGCGCTTCATTCTAAAAATGTGCACACAGTAATCGCTTTTACAACCCTATAAAATTACTAAAAGAAGCATTCAATACTTATAATTACATTTTTTGCTAGGATCATGAAAACACGATTTCTATCCAGTTTTTTGTCGAGCCTGCGACTTTTGTCGCAGAAAGCTCGACATAGGGATAGTGATCCGGTGGCGGCGTTAGCTAACTTCTTAAAAGCTTTATATTTTAGAAGGTGGAAGACCTGGATGCTTTATACTTTATATATGGATGCCTCATGTTACGAAGTTTCCGCCAGTCACATTGTCCAATGTCCTTGACCTCATTTTCATGGTTCAGTGACTACTTGAAAAAAAAGTTAACATTTTTTGTAATGTTAAATTCTCTCTTATTATAAGTAGTAGGATAACTATATTTGGTATGTGCGTACCTTGCAAGGTCCTCATGCCCGTCAGACAGTTTTCACTTGACCTCGACCTCATTTCATGGATCAGTGAACAAGGTTAAATTTTGGTGGTCAAGTCCATATCTCAGATACTATAAGCAATAGGTCTAGTATATTCGGTGTATGGAAGGACTGTAAGGTGTACATGTCCAACTTGCAGGTGTCATTTGACCTTGACCTCATTTTCATGGTTCAGTGGTTATAGTTAAGTTTTTGTGTTTTGGTCTGTTTTTCTTATACTGTATGCAATAGTTCTACTATATTTGGTGTATGGAATGATTGTAAGGTGTACATGTCTAGCTGGCTGGTGTCATCTGACCTTGACCTCGTTTTCATGGTTCAGTGGTCAAAGTTAAGTTTTTGAGTTTTGGCCTTTTTTTCTAATACTATATGCAATAGGTCAACTATATTTGGTGTATGGAAATATTTTATGATCTATATGTCAGTCGCGCAGGTTTTATATGACCTTGACCTCACCATGGTTCATTGCTCAGTGTTAAGTTTTTGTGTTTTGGTCTGTTTTTAAAGGCAGTGCTTTAATGCCTTTCTAGTTGCCGGGTTAATCCTTCCTTCCGCGGTATCCAACTTATCTACGTGGGGGGTCATTAGACTCCAAGTAGATCCGGAAATGTTGAATTCTCTCCTCTTCTTATTGCGATATAAAATGTTTTTTGTTTCATTTCATTTACATTGGGAAATAGAGAAACGATCATTGTGTTTTGTTAGTTTTAAAAACTTTTGATATATTAGTATTTTGCATTATAAGCAGTCAACCGATTGACAAACTAGAATTATTTGAATTCCGTGTGGAAAGAGCTCGGGTTAATTTCGAGTGTTATCTGCAATCTAGATGTTTATAAATCATTTCAGTCGTTGATATAATAATAAAAGGTCGACTGAACATGAATTATATTATACAATTTAAAGCGCATTTCTGTTTATGCACGTGAACCCGTCGAACGTTATTTTCGCAGTTATATAAAGTAGCAAATTATCGTTCCTGAATAGGTGGCGCCGTGGTAGCGGATCCTGTTCCTCTACTTCCGGTTTCTGCACTGTGCAACTATTTCAGTTATATTTTTAATTAACGATGCCAAGTACTTGTTGTTGTGTACCTGGATGTCATTTAAGAGGAGGACATGCATTTCCAAATGACTTAAAAAGAAGGAAAAGTTGGATCAACGCCATGGCCCATACGCAGATTGGACGAGAACACGATGATATCGTGGAGTCCATCTCAATCAGCTGTTGTTTGCAAGGCACGTTTTACTGAAAAAGACTACGTGCAGGAAACTATTCATGGTAAAACTCTATTTTCTTTGTGAAATATAAAGTTATACATGTAATCGCCATGCGAATAAACCAAAGTCTGTTTACAACCGCAATTATCGTTTTAGAATAAAAGGGGGTGGGTAATTCAAGACGTCATAATTTTTTGGATTACGATTCAATGTGATCTGTTTGAGATTTTTTGGTGATTGCTACAATTATAATGATTTCTTACAAGAGGTATATCATACTGAGAATTATTTTAGCAGTAATTATGCTAATGTAGTAATGACAGGAATGCATAAGCTATGCCTCATAGACTTTCTTGAAAAATATCAATGACAATGTTAACAGGAACAAAACAATGACATGCTCTCATCTATATTATAGTTATTTAGGTACAAACAATGTACGTTTGTTGCATAAGTCTCTCATTGTTTGTCCTTTGGATTTACATAACATACATTGAATCAGGCAAACATAGTTTTATCCAGATTGTAATGAATAAATCTAGTTAATATTTCGCCAGGTAGTACAAAGTATACATTGCTAATGGAAGTTCTTTTAATTATAAAAAAACTAATGTTTTATAACCTTTTTCAGGGCGCAAACCCACCATACAGAGACTTAAGTCTACTGCAATTCCCAGCCTATTTTCCTGGACCAAGCAAGAGACTGAATCGTCCGCAAAAAGAAAAATCAGGGCAGTTTCCTGTGAAAACAAAAGAACTAAACTTGATAAATATTGTAGTAGAAATCTAGAGGAAAGTTTTGATTGTAAAGTTGGTTTTCCTGAAGAAGTCATTCATACTGCAGAAAGGATTTATGACTGTCCACCACCAACTGCCGAGCTAATGTTGAGCTTCACAGATGGAATTACGCAAACACCATCAATGCCTATGTTTTCAGCAGAGAATTTTGAAATGAAGACACGTGACACAGCCATGCATTTTTATACCGGTTTAGAGTTGTATACTAAATTTTTATTTGTTTTTACCACACTTGGTCCAGCAGCACATTGTTTGAGATACATATATTTTCAAATTGATAGGGTGTCAGTTGAAAATCAGTTTTTTTATGACTTTGATGAAATTGAGGCATCATACAACCAACTTTGAACTGTCTAGATTCTAGATTGAATCTAGTGTTAAGAATATTGTGTATACATGGATTGTTTTTATGTCTAAACAGTGGTGTGAGGCTAACACTTGGCCATCTAGTGGTTTAGTCAGGTGTTTTTCACCATCCAACTTCAAATTAAAGTTTCCTACGACTTGGATTATTATTGACAGCACAGAATATCCCGTGATAAAACCTAAAGCTCCTGGAGCTCAGGCAACCTTTTCATCAAATAAAAACAGAAACACTGAAAATTCTTGAATGTTCGACACCTGGTGGTTTAGTCAACTATGTCTCTATGTCACATAGAGCGAATTATTGGACTTGGCAAAACATACAAAATTCTAATAAATCCTATGAATGGAACTGAAAAACTTTCATCTGAAATAACATTTAGTTGTTTTATGTTGTGTAATTTTAGAAATTGTATTGTGCCAAAGGATGCATAAATAAAAGTGACGCAATGAATTTTGTTCTGATATATATATATTTACAATTACATGCACATGTAAATTGTAATGCATATAAAAATAAGGAGATGTGGTATGATATTCAGTGAGTTTATCAAACTAAAGTGCATAAGAAATGGGTTTAAGCAGTTACAGGTGTTACTGTCACTGTACAATCTCCAACAATGAGAAAAACTCGTACCCTGTAAAAAATTTCAGAGATCTTACAACTAAGTTTTGTTGTCTCACCTTGACTTTGGTGAATTTTTTTATATCTGTTGATGTAAATATAAAAAAGAAGATGTGGTATGATTGCCAATGAGACCACTCTCCACACATGCACAAGAGACCAAATGACACAGAAATTAACAGCTATAGGTCACAGTACGGCCTTCAACAATGAGCAAAGCCCATACCGCACAGTCAGCTATAAAAGGCCCAGAAATGACAATGTAAAACAATTCAAACAAGAAAACTAACGGCCTATTTTATGTAAAAAAATGAACAAATATAACAAATATGCAACACATAAACAAACGACAACCACTGAATTACACTTTTATAGGCTCCTGACTTGGGACAGGCATATACATGTACATACAGAATGTGGCGGGCTTAAACATGTTAGCGGTATCCCAACCCTCCCCCTAACCTGGGACAGTGGTGTAACACTACAATATAAGAAAGAACTATAAAAATCAGTTGAAAGAGGCTAAACTCATCAGATGGATAAATACAAATACAAGTGGACGTGGTCGGGTAGTTGTACATCCAAACAACAAAAAGACACTAAGTACAAATCTGAGAGTACTCGCAGTTACTGATAGCTAGTTCAAAGCCACTAACAACTGATAACAAAATCTTGCATCTAAGACTAAATTATCAATCCGTAAGCTCCCTTTAGAATTTTCTAAATTTTAGATTTTACATTTCTGAGTTATGGGGTTTAATTCATTAAAAAAGGGGGGATTTTCCAGTTTTTGGACAACTCAAAAATGCTTTAAGCAGTTCACATGAAACTTTGGTGAATTATTTATAGCTATTGATGTAATCTCCCTATTGATTTTCATAAATTTCAAATATGACCTTGAGAAGAAATTGAACTTTATTTGATTATAGTCTGGCAACAGATTTATTAAGTATTGCACAACAGCACAGTGTATTGCACAACAGCAAGAAATCTTTAATTGAATATAAATTCAATTCATATAACCGATTTCAAGTTCATTGACTACATTTATTCAGAAACTATAATATGTCAAATATTTAATTACAATCCAAATTCAGACCTGTATCAAGCTTGAATATTGTGTCCATTTTTGCCCAAGCTGTTCAGGGTAGTACCTCTGCTGGTGTATCCAGCTGCGCTCAGCAAATCAGTTTATTTCTTAATTAAGAACTCCTTTTTATACGACCGCAAAAAACTTTTTGTGGTCGTATATTGGTATGACGTTGGCGTCGTCGTCCGAAGACACATTAGTTTTCGCACTCTAACTTTAGTTTAAGTGAATGGATCTCAATGAAATTTTAAAATAAGGTTCAATACCACAAAAGGAAAGTGGGGATTGATTTTGGGGGTTATGGTACCAACAGTTAAGGAATAAGGGGCCAAAAAGGGGCCAAAAATAAGCATTTTTGTAACTTCCAGACATAACTTGTGTGTAAGTGTATGGATCTCTCTGACATTGTACCACAAGGTTCCATATCACAAAGGGAATGCTGGGATTGATTTTTGGGGGTAATTGCCTCCAAAATTTAGGAATTAGGGGCCAAAAAGGGGCAAAAAACAAGCATTTTTCTAGTTTCATGACAATAACTTGTGTGCAAGTCTATGGATCTCTCTGACATTGTATCACAAGGTTCCATATCACAATGGGAATGCTGGGATTGAATTTGGGGGTAATTGCCTCCAAATTTTAGGAATTAGGGGCAAAAAAGGGGCAAAAAACAAGCATTTTTCTAGTTTCATGGCAATAACTTGTGTGTAAGTGTATGGATCTTTATGAAATTGTACTACAAGGTTCCATATCACAAAGGGAAAGCTGGAATTGAGTTTGGGGGTAATTGCCCAAAAAGTTTAGGAATAAGGGACCAAAAATAAGCATTTTTCTAGTTTCCAGACAATAACTTGTGTTCAAGTGTATGGATCTCTCTGAAATTGTACTGCAAGGTACCATACCACAAAGGGAATGCTGGGATTGATTTTGGGGGTAATTGCCTCCAAATTTTAGAAATTAGGGGCAAAAAACAAGCATTTTTCTTGTTTCATGACAATAACTTGTGTGTAAGTCTATGGATCTCTCTGACATTGTATCACATGGTTCCATATCACAAAGGGAATGCTGGGATTGATTTTGGGGGTAATTGCCTCCAAATTTTAGGAATTAGGGGCCAAAAAGGGGCAAAAAAACAAGCATTTTTCTAGTTTCATGGCAATAACTTGTGTGTAAGTGTATGGATCTTTATGAAATTGTACTACAAGGTTCCATATCACAAAGAGAAAGCTGGGTTTGAGTTTGGGGGTAATTGCCCTAAGCGTTTAGGAATTTGGGACCAAAAAGGGGCCAAAAAACAAGCATTTTTCTAGTTTCCAGACAATAACTTGTGTTCAAGTGTATGGATCTCTCTGAAATTGTACTGCAAGGTACCATACCACAAAGGGAAGGCTGGGATTGAGTTTTGGGGTGATGAATCATAAGGGGGTTCAAAAAAATTTTTGGGGGGGATTCTTTTTTCTTTTTTTTCTTTAAAATTTTCCATTTTAAATTGGTTATTTCTGATTTATATATAAAAGCAAATAATAATGATATGGTTTGAATAGGTAAATTAAATTTTTTTAAGTATCTTAGACCACTTTCATTCTGTGTCAGAAACCTATGCTGTGTCAAATATTTAATTACAATCCAAATTCAGTGCTGAATCAAGCTTGAATGTTGTGTTCATACTTGCCCCAACTGTTCAGGGTTCGACCTCTGCGGTCGTATCAAGCTGCGCCCCAGCGGAGCATTTTATTTCATTCATAAATTACTTTATGCTTGGAAATATAATTTTGCTTGGAGTTGAAAGAGTTGACATGTTGCAATGTACATTTACTCTACATAGTTCTATGGTATCAAATCAAAAGTTTATATAAAGAAAGAAGTCAAAGGTTTCCCATCATAGTTTAGTTACATACATTTTTTTTGTACCTGAGGTCGTTGAATATAGATCATTATATAAATAAGGAGATGTGTTATGATTGCCAATGAAAAAACTAAGGATTTTCTTATCCAAGGAATAGATTACCTTAGCCGTATTTGGCACAACTTTTTGGAATTTTGGGTCCTCAATGCTCTTCAACTTTGTACTTGTTTGGCTTTGTTACTATTTTGATCTGAACGTCACTGATGAGTCTTATGTAGACGAAACACACGTCTGGCGTATTAAATTATAATCCTGGTACCTTTGATAACTAATTTGACTATAAACATAGATAAAAAAGGTACAAACTGGACATAATGCACTAGTTCATAAACAAGTGAGAACAATCGCCTTCATATAGTGCTCAGAATATGACATTCATAAAACTTATTCAATATCATTAGAGAACTCTAAATCTTAAATACTGAAAGCCACCTCTGATAAGTACACTGTACTATGCAAGATAATGATATAACTGGACTTAAAATACACACAACCTGTAATTAACTGCCTTTACAGCGCTTTCGTGCTTTGATTCTTAAACTATAAGCAATTGGTCAACTATATTTGTTATATGGAAGAATTGTTAAACTGTACATGTCTGCCTGGCATGGTTCAACTGACCTTGACCTCATTTTCATGGTTTATTGGTCAATGTTTAGTTTTCCTGGTTAATGTTAAGTTTATGTGACAGTTGTAATAAAGCTTTATAATTAGGACTATCAACATAATATCAATGATTAGTAAAGAAGGCGAGACATTTCAGCGTGTGCACTCTTGTCTTTTATTAACCTGTACACTTTATTGTAGAAGTTCGTGTCATCATGAATGTTACATTTCATTTTGAAATAAAGGTCAATTTCAGAAGACCCAAGATTGCTGTTAGCAAATCAAAATAACGTATTATAATGAAACATACATGTAATGTAATTATTATATAATGTTTATAAAGTTATCAAGCAGTTAAATGATGGATTTGCTTCAAAAATTAAAATGCTACTATTTAAATTGAATTTCACTCATGTTTGGGAAAATCAATGTACCTTTTCTAAAAAAGGATTATTTTCAGCCCTAACGAAGAAGCTCAATGAAAATTACATTATATTTTGGAAAAATAGTCTCTTTAATGATGATAATTCAATAAATGGAAATAAACTAAGCGCCTACAGAAAATTTAAAGTAAAGCATGAACTTGAAAAGTACCTTTTATTGAATTTAGATAAAAATGTTACAAAAAATTATGCAAAAAAAAGAATAAGTAATGTATGCTAGCTATTGAGGCCCCTCATGGGGGTGTCCAAGTAATCACATTATCAAAAATTTTTTGGCAAATATAATCACATAATCATTAATTATTTTTTAAAGGGGCACAAGCTGTCAAATTCATGTTCACCAATTTGACTCAAATTCTCATATTTGATTTTTAACATACTAAAACTTATGTCAAAATTACAAAAAGTCTGAAATAAACAGTTAAGAAAGCATGTACTCTATAATATATATCAGAATTTCGTGTGTATTTTAGTCTAGACGCCATCTAATTAACTATCGAGATGACCTCCGAATTACTACCGACGGTCACATAACCCGATATAAACATAAACATAAATAGAAATAGATTGCGACCTCGTGCAATTGGATTTTTACAGGTCTGTTTGATTTCATGTTATAGGTTAAAAAAACAATCTCTAGCTAATGGGTTAAATTGAAGGTCACATGAATACAGATTTAATGAGATCGAATTA